ACTCGAAATGGATCAAAGACCTGAATGTAAATTATGAAACCATAAAACTCTTAGAAGAAAACATAGGCAAAACTCTCTTGAATATAAACATGAACAACTTCTTCATGAACATATCTCTACGGGCAAGGGAAACAAAAGCAAAAATGAACAAGTGGGACTATATCAAACCAAAAAGCTTCTGTACAGCAAAGGACACCATCAGTAGAACAAAAAGGCATCCTACAGTATGGGAGAATATATTCATAAATGACATACCCGATAAGGAGTCGACATCCAAAATATACAAAGACCTCATGTACCTCAACAAACAAATAGCAAATAATCCAATTAAAAAATGGGCAGAGGATCTGAACAGACACTTCTCCAAAGAAGAAATTCAGATGGCCAACAGACACTTGAAAAGATGCTCCACATCACTAATCATCAGAGAAATGCAAATTAAAACCACATTGAGATACCACCTCACACCAGTTAGGATGGCCACCATCCAAAAGACAAACAACGACAAATGTTGGTGAGGATGTGGTGAAAGGGGAACCTCCCTCCTACACTGCTGGTGGGAATGTAAGCTAGTTCAACCATTGTGGAAAGCAATATGGAGGTTCCTCAAAAAACTAAAAATAGAAATACCATTTGACCCAGGAATTCCACTCCTAGGAATTTACCCAAAGAATACAAGCTCTCAGATTCAAAAAGACATATGCATCCTATGTTTATCACAGCACTATTTACAATAGCCAAGAAATGGAAGCAACCCAAGTGTCCATCAGTAGATGAATGGATAAAGAAGAGGTGGTACATATACACAATGGAATATTACTCAGCCATAAGAAAGAAGCAAATCCTACCATTTGCAACAACATGGATGGAGCTAGAGGGTATTATGCTCAGGCAGAGAAAGACAAGTACCAAATGATTTCCCTCATTTGTGGAGTATAACAACGAAGCAAAACTGAAGGAACAAAATAGCAGCAGACTCACAGACTCCAAGAAGCGACTAGTGGTTACCAAAGGGGAGCGATGTGGGAGGCGGGTGGGGAGGGAGGGAGAAGGGGATTGAGGGGTATCATGATTGGTGCACATAGTGTGTGTGGGGTTACGGGGAAGATAGTATAGCTCAGAGAAGACAAATAGGGACTCTGTGGCCTCTTACTAAACTGACGGACAGTGACTGCAATGAGGTATGGGGGAGACTCGATAATAAGGGTGAATGTAATAAACACATTTTTTGTGAAACCTTCAGTACATATCAATGATACCTTAATAAAAAAAATAGTCTTTGTTTAATAATTCCATCATCTGGGTTATCTCAGGATTGCTATCTATTGATTGTCTTTTCCCCTGGGTAATGGTCAGAGTTGCATGTGTGAGTCTGTGTTTTGAGTGGTAAATAATTTTGGATTGTATCCTGGGAATTTGGAATGTTGTGAATTCTGTATCCTGTTAATATGCTCTGGAGAATCTTGACTTTTATTTGCTTATTTGTTTTAGCAGGCAATCATCCTAGGGAGGTTCGGATGGCAAGTTTTGTTCTATTCTATGGGTGTTGGTTATTATGTTAACATTTTCAAAGTCTCAGCTATGCTATTTGGGTTAGGATGTGCTGCCCGGGATTAGTTTGTGACTTGGCCAGTGGTTTATGTAATGGTTCAGTTTTCTAAGCCTTTGCTTCGCTGCGTTTGTTGTGCGCTTGTGTCGTTCAGAGGTGAGCCTCTGAAGTAAGAAGGGAAAATTAGCATCCCCCCCACCCTGTTTGGTGCATAGGAGCTCTTTTCCTGGTCCTCTGGGAATGAGGGGTTTCTCCTGCAGTTTTAGCTTTTAGTGCTTGTTGTAGAGGGCCATAACTTGGCATATTTTTGCATCGAGAAACAAAGGAGGGAAAAGAATATGTGAAACTCGCTCCCCCCCATTATAAGTCATTATTCACGTTTTTACTTAAATCCCTAGTCTGACCACTATTGTTTACTTTTCAAAGACCTCCAGTAGTTGCTTTTAAAATTCTATCCAGAGATTTTAGTGTAATCAGTGAGAGAGACTGGCTGTATGTCATTAGCTCACTCCATTTTGGCCAGAACAGAAGACTAGTGGTGGTCTCTTCATTATTTTTGGCACTTAATTCTTCTAATAAATGATAAAATTGTGTTAGCTTTCATGAAAATGAATGTCGAGACTTTTATTGGAATTGCACTGAATCTATAAATCAATTTAGGGGAGGAATTCCATCTTTACAGTATTGAATACATCTGTCCATGAACATGGATATTTCTGCATTTATTTAGGTCTGTTTTAATATGGCTTAGGTTTATTTCTTCATGCCATAGAGGTTGTTTTATTGTAAGTGCTATCTTTCTATTTTTTTAAATTCACTTTCTGTTTATTTTTACTGTATAGAAATCCAGGTTTTTTTCCCCCAATGTTTATTTTTAACTTAAACTTTCATTGAATATTCACATATTGAATCATGCACAGATGATAATTCCTGCTAAATAAATCATCGCAATGTGAGCCCACTATCCTGGCTTCTGACACCATGGATTTCTTTTGCTTATTCTTGAACTTCATATAAGTGGAATTATATACTATTTTGTATTCTAGCCTGGCTTCTTTTATTCAAAGTAATGTTTCTGAGATCCATCCAGGTTGCGCATATCAGTAATTCACTCTTTTTATTGTTGTATAACCATTATACAAAGATACCATCCCTTATATTTCTGTTGAATGCTATTCGGGGTGTTTTGAGGTTTTGGCAGTTATGAATAATGAAGCTATTCGCATGCTTGCACATGATTGTGTACTTACATAAACATTTGGTTAGATAATCACTTTGGAGTGGGTCATAAAATATGAAAATACCTATAATATGTAGTTACATTGAACTACTTTTCTGAAGTAGTTAATCAATCTATGTTCCTCCCAAAAGTGTGAGTCCCATCCTTTGGTTTAATTAGTTTTTTTCATGTTAGCTTGTCTAGTGCGTATATAATGGTATCTCACTGTGGCTTCCTCCCAACATTTTATTATGAAAAAACATTTAAGCATACAGAAAAGTTGAAAAACTTATACAGTGACCATCCATGTACCCATCAACCTAGATTCTACAATTAACATTTTACGATACTGATTTATCTCGTATATATCCATCTACTCTCATTGTGGTTTTAATTTACATTTTCTTCTTGACCAGCGGAAATGAGTACTGTGTACCTTTTCATATGTTCCTGACTATTTGTATATCTGTTTTTGTAATATGCTTGTTCAAACTTTCTGTTTCCTTCCCTCCCCTTGTTAGGTGGTCTGTGTTTTAAAATGTATTTAAACGTTTTTTTTTTTGGTTATATATTTTGTTAGTTTCCTACTGTTGCTCTAACTATAACTACAAAACTTGTGGCTTAAAACAACATGAATTTATTGTCTTACAGTTCTGGAGGTCAGAAATCTGGAATCAGTTTCACTGGGCTAAAAGAAGGTGTTGGCAGGCCCATGTTCTTCACATAGCATCTCAGGGAGAATCCATTTCCTAACCTTTTACAGCTACTAGAAACCATCTGCATTCTTTCAATCGCGTCCCTTCCTTCTCAGTCAGAGAGTGTCCTCCTCCTCTAATTCTGACTCTCCTGTCTCCATCTGTCCCTTATTAGGACCAATTACAGGGCTCATCATAGATAATCCAGGATAGTCTCCCCATTTCAAAATCCATAACAACCACATTGAAAAGTCACTTTTGCCATGTGAGGTACCACTCAGCAGTTCTAGGGATTAGGACGTGGATGTCTTGGAGGCCATTATTCTGTCTAGCATGTATGTTGCAAATATCTTCCGCTACTCTATGGCTTGTCTGCTCATTCAGTTAATGGCAACTTCTGATTGCTTATCAAACTTTCCCTTCGTGACTGATGCTCTTTGTGTCCTATTTAAGAAATCTGGGCCTACCCCCAAGTCAGGCAGATATTCTCCTAGGTTTTTTCATCTAGAAATGTTATTGTTTTTCCTTTCATATTTAGAACTACAGTCTGCTCTGAAGAGATTTTTGTTTAATATGTGAAGCTGGGGAGGCCAACGTTCATTTATTTCTATATAGCTACCCAATTGCCCTAACAACTAAATTTATTGAAAAGAATGTCCTTTCTCTACAGCTTTGCAGTGCCCTCTTTGTTGTAAATCAGTTATCCATGTATGTATGTGTTTCTGAATTCTCCCAGTGGCATCCAAAGAACTTCCTGCAATAATGGAAATGTTATGTATCTGTTCTACCAATATGGTAGCCATGTGGCTGCCAAGCACTTGATATGTAGCTAGTGTGACTTAGGAACTAAATTGTTAATGTTATTTAATTTTAATTTACATAGCCATATGTTATTTAATTTTAATTTACATAGTAGCTACCACAGGGGCAGCACAGCATATTGCTCCAGTGATCTATTTGTGCCACAGATCCTGGCACCAACACCGTACTCTCTTCATTATTGTAACTTTACAATTAGTCTACATTTTGTTCTTCTCCAGCAAGACTGTGTTAACCATTGTAGACCTTTTGTTTCTTTGTGTACCTTTTAGAATCAAGATTGTAAGTTTCCACAAAAACCCTGCTGTGACTTTAGGAGGGTTTTGCACTGAGTCTATAGATCATATTAGGGAAACTTGACCTTGTTATACTATTAAGATTTCCAATTCATGAGCATGTCATATCTCTTTATTTAGGGCTTTTTTATCACCTCTCAATACTATTTTATAATTCGTGTATGTGTGTAAAGATTTTGTTCTTCGTTTGTTAAAATTACTCTTAGACGATATCTTCTGGTATTGTTGTGGATGGTATTGTTTTCCAGTTGTTATGTGGTAGAGACAGGCATTTTCTTGGTATCTTTTCCAGGGTGGGCACTCTATGTTCTTATCCACATAAGGATGAGAGGGGTGGGGAGGCCTCAAGAGTTCGTGTAGGATTAGGTTTGTCTCTTCCTTAGCTCATATGCCTAAAATCTGCAGTTTTTGATGTCCTTAAGGTCAACAAGGAAGAAGGCTGCATCCCTGCAGTTGCAGGAACTCAAGTCCACCCAGGATGACGACTGTTAATAAAAGCATGGAGGCCCAGGATAAGGAACCCTGGATGTCTGGGACTTCGGATTCCAAATACCTGACTGCTACTACCTCAGTTTCCCCAGTCTTAAAGTCCGAGTTGTTGTCTGCTGAGGAACTGAATGGGGAGAAAGAGAAGGTTGACACTCTGTCATCACACAGTTGGTTTGATGAAGATAATGATGAAGCACTGGAGACCACAGACAAAGATGAGCCAAAGGATGAAGCCCCCACTGACCGGCCATCCTGGGCCAGTAAAACTGAGTACCTCCTGGCCCAGGTGGGCTTCTCTGTGGGGCTGAACACCACCTGGCGCTTTCCTTATCTGTGTTTTCACAATGGAGGTGGTAAGCCTGGGGACCAGGAATCATGGATGCACAGGGGTTGGGGAGCTGGAGGCCTGTTCTGGCTACTCTGGGGTCCCTGAGATAGGCAGGGACTAAGGATTTGGGGTCGTTGGGCAGGAGCCAGGTGCCTGAACACCTAGATGTTTGGAACATGGGAGCAGGATAGCTGAATATTTTGGTTCATAAAGATGGTGAGGGTAGGAGTGGAAACTGGGTACCTGGGTCTTCCAGGAATTGGAGGCCAAGGGACTGGACATTGGAACTGTGAGGGACATGGAAGTAATTGAGTCCTAAAGCCTGAGGCCCTGGGAGAGGTCACTGATGGGGAGCATGTTTTCCTGGAACCCCAAAGAGGCCCTGGCCCTGAAAAGCCAGATGGTTCTCAGAGCCCCTCCCTGGATCCCCTGCACAGGCAGCTTTCTCATCATCTACGTCCTCATGCTGCTCTTGGTCGGGGTTCCGCTTCTCCTGCTGGAGATGGCAGCCGGTCCGAGGATGCATCAGGGCAGCTTGGGTGTGTGGACGGCCGTCAGCCCCTGGACTGGCGGTTTGGGGTATACCAGCCTCACAGTGAGGAGCCCGGGCTGCCCTGGTCTGCCCTCTGCTCCCCACCCCGATTCCAGCCCTAGTCCTGGGATGGGTCCAGTGGCTTTGCTTATATGGGTCCAGGCCTGTCAGGTCCCCAGTCCTTGGGCCAAGTTCCCCTCCTTTTGTTGGCCTCCTTCCTTCCCCTACTTCCGGATTCTCCCTGGCCCCCAGGTGTGCTTCATCGCGGGCTTGTACTACAGCGTGCTCATGGCCTGGGGTGCCTTCTATTTGGTTCAGTCTTTGCAGTCTCCACTGCCTTGGGCATCATGTCCCTTACTGAGGAATTCCAGTGATTTTGATGAGAAGAGAGGGAAAAGGGCAGGTGGGAGGGCTGAGAAAAGTACAAAGCAATGAAGAAGGAAGAGGATCATTGCTAGGATGGGGATGAATGGGAAGGTGATGAAAGGGGTATGAAGGAGGGGGGAGATGCGGAGAAGAGGGGAGGCACCTGGTCTTGCAGTTTCCTCCATGGTCAGTTCACCTCAGATCCTGAGTGTGCACAGACAGCATCCACCACGTACTTCTGGTACCGGCATGTACTGAAGGCCGTAGACGAGATTGAGATGGGTGGGCCGCCAGTAGTGCATCTCAGTGTCTGTCTCTTTGCGTCTGGTTCATTATCTGCGTCTCCATGATCAGAGGGCCCAGGGCCACTGGGAAGGTGAGCAGCCCTTTGACTTACTGATCCGATGGGCCCCTTCTGTTTGAGACCCCTGATGCTCTCCTAACTTGATGGCTGTTGGTCTCCCAACTTCTCCCTCCTTCTAATATGCCTTCTGATTCCCAATAGCCATGTGTCTCACTATCTCAAGTTCTGCCTATACTGAATTCTATGTCTGAACCATACTTCCTACTCAGGTGCTGTATGTCTCAGTGACCCTTCCCTACATCTGCCTTTCCTGTCTCCTTATCCAGAGCGTCATGCTGGAAGGCGCACATTTTGGTCTCAAGAGTCTGTTGGCTGCCAAGGTGAGGTGACCCCTGCCCTTTAACCCTCTTACCCAAGTGGGGGTGTCAAGGGCATTTATTGTTGTCTGTCTGATAGAGGCTGTCTTCTCTCCCTCTTTTTTATTCCCTGCCTCTTATCTCCCATCTCAGCCACGGTTTACGCCCCTCACTTTATATCCCAATTTGCACAATCCTTCTCCTCAGGTGCCAGCCCTGTACTCCGCGTAAGTGTGGCGCCGGGCAGGGAACCAGCTCTTTCTGTCCGTAGGCTCTGGCTTCAGCAGCTTCACCGCAATAAGCTCGTACACCCCGCAGCCCAACAACTGTGTCACTGATGCTGTCACTGTGGCTCTTCTCAGCCTGACCTCCTCGCTGGTGGTCATGTTATTTGTATTTGCCATAATAGGCCACTTGGTTACAGAGACCAGCAAAAAATGCTGCCTGAAGTGAGCCTACTATTTCATATGGAGATCACAATAAGGATCAAGGTCTTAGGAATAGCCCACAGAAGTCCAGCCTAGCCCCCCACCCCCGGAATATTGGCTCAGTCAATACAGGGCCCTAAAATCCGAGCATCCTAAACCTTAGAAACACCTGAATCTCTTCAACCCTATTTCTTTTAGAGCTACCTTTCTAAAGTAGGAAAGCCCCAAACGGCAGAGGTTTTCAAGGGTGTGTTTACCCCATTCTTAACTGGGGGCTGCCATGGAAGACATTAGGGGATACCTTCAGCTGAACCATTAGACAAAAAACTGGGGGGACCCCCAGGGCCAAAGCCCTTATAGTCTGTTCCCCATTGTCTTCTGTGACAGTCGTTCCAAAAATATTCCTTGGACACTTAAAAAATATCTATTTACCAACCCCTGTGTTGTGTTCTGGAACCCCGGCTAATGGTGAAGCACCACCCTTGCCCTCATGAAAGCCACAGTCTTTTGAGGAAGCAGATACAGAGCAGACAGTCCCAAACTAGATGAGAACTGGTAGTAGGCACGATGTGAGACAGAGGAGGGAGCTGCTAGCTTCCACGGGCAGTCAGAGGTGGCTTCCTAGTGGAGGCGGTCCCGGGCTGAGTTTGCCGCCTGAGAAATCACCCCTGCAACCATTCTTTCAGATATTTCCCATTCGTACACCTATATATGAAAACATACCATTTTAAAAAAGTTGGATCATACCATACTGCTTTTCTTCAGTTTGTTTATTTGCCCTTATGAAAATAGATTTTGAGCAGTTTTCCATGGCAGCGATTAGAATTTAGTAAACTGAGTAGGGGTTGACGGGTATTTGCTATCTGGAGAATGGGTGTGGGGGCACAACTGGGGGTGGAGTGGGGCAGTTCTAGGCAGAGAGAACATCGGGCACCAAAGACACTGAGGCAAGAGAGCGGAGCACGTGGAGGAATGTTTACTAGTTGAATATGGCTGAGCAGAGGGGGCGAGGAGAGTTGTGAGTGATGAGGCTGGAGTGGATAGCAGGTCCAGAAAGCCGAGAAGCCCTGATGTCCTGACATGGTCTGGTAGGAGGTCAGGGTCCTAACATCCTCAGTGATACTGCAGCAAAGGCCCCTGCGGGTGTCCACAGAAGTCAGAAGTTCTCTGGCCTCACACAGACACTTCTGTGATGGTGACAGTAGGTGTCAGGCAGTGGTCCCGAGGGTCCTGGAAACTGAAGTTTCAGTGCAAGCTCTACTTTAAATGAGATTGAAAACGTTATGTTAATGATTTCCGTTCTCATCTGGAAGATGAGGGAGGAAAAGCTATCTTAAAAAGCCAAATGGTTTATATGATTCTACCCCTGTCCCCAGGAATGCTGAGACAGTGATGAGACTGGTAGCAATGTGGGTGCTACCTCCTGAGGTCCGGCCCCCGGATAGTCTGTCTCATCATCCAGACCCCATCTACTCCATGTGGCTTAGCAACCTCCCTGAACAAGTCAGAAGCATAGTCCTACCATATTTGTCCAATTGCAGCTTATCTGAGCAGTTGAAGGAGGTAGGTAATGGTGGGGAATGGGGGCCTAGAGATCCCCTCAATGTGCATTAACCATGCTACCAATAGTTTCCTAGGGGAGGGGACCACAACAGAGTTAGGACTCTACAGACTGAGCTCAGAGCCCTCACCATCCCTCCCTTCATTCACAGGTCATGGAGGGTCAGGTTTGGTCCTTGTGGCATTTACTGACGTCATCTTCTCTGTGTTTTCTGGATCCACCTTCTGGTCCATCATCATCTTCCTATTGCTGGTGAACCTGGGGCTGTGCACCATGACAGGGGTCATGCAGGGTATCATTACCCCACTCCAGGACACCTTCTCTTCCCTCAGGAAATACACAAAGCTGCTCACAGGTACTCTGACCTCTGACTGCCCTCCCACCTATGGCCATTGTTTACCTTAACTCCACTGAAGCTCTTACCCAGCTGAGCTTGGATTCTGACCTTGACCCAAATCTGTTGTTTTCCTCCAGTGGGGGTCTGTATGTGTGTGTGTTCCTGTGCAGCCTTATTTCTGCATGGCCCTCTGGCAGCTACTATGTGAACCTGCTGGATGAATACTGGGCATCTCTGTGCCTCTTCTTCATTCTCATCTTGGAGAACGTGGCCATGGCCTGGATCTATGGAGCCAGAAGGTGTTGCCTTCAGCCCAGGATCTTCTGCCATGTGCCCACACAGCCAGGGTCCCTAGGGAGCTTTGGCCTCTCCTGTGAGGTCTCCAATCCCAGGGCCTATGGAGAGCCCCATAGGTGGGAGGGGGGAGGGCATGGGCTGGCTCCTGGAGAAAGCAGTTGCAGAGTGGAAAAGTGGTGAACAGTCCATGTCAAGTCCCAGGGGCTCCTGAGCCCTGCTTTTAACCAGGGTAGTGCTGAACATCTGAGACATGTAATCCCGTGCTTTTCAAAGTGTGCCCTGTGGCCCAGCAATATTGGTATCACCTGGAAGCTTATCAGAAATGCAGACCCCCAGGCTCCACCCAAGACCTTTGAATCTATACCTGCATTTTAGCAGGAATCCCAAGTGATGCTTATGCACACTAGTATTTGAGAACCACCATGTAATCCAAGGGTGACAGCATTTCCAGGTGAAAGCTGTTCCTGGCATCAGTTTGCTGATCCATACGCTCACTTCCAAATACCTCTTAGGGCCTCCCTATGTGTCAGGCAGGCCTGTGGTGAGGAGTGGGGATGCTGGGATGAATTATATTTAGTTTCTGCTTTCAGAGCACACTGAAGAAAACATACATAAGCAGATTCTTGGGCAGTGTGAAAAGCCAATGATAGAGGCAACTGAGGACTACAGAAACCCAGCTAGTTATCTAAAGAAGACTGAGGAGTCAGGCAAGGATGCCTGCCCAGAGTGTAGACAGATGAAGGGAAGCTTGTCAAGGGAGAGAAAGAAGGGCATTCCAGGCAGAAGGAAACTGCTTTGCATATATATTGGGGTTATGAAAGTGTACAAAGAAGGCCATAGATGTGGGCTTGAAGAAACTACACTAAGGAGCTTGGCTTCTCTCCTGTGAGTGATGGTGAGAAAAATGTTTAACAAAATCCCGGGGCTGGGACAGAAATCAGACTGAAAGGGGATGAATTAGAGGCGAGAAGACTGGTTGCAGAGGTGAGCGGGAAGATTTACGAAATGTTAAGGGCTCTGTTCCAGCCGAGGCTAGGATTGAGCCCTCCCCCAAGGCTGGGTAGGCCTGGCTGGGCGTCCCGGAGCGCCGTGGCTCTTCCTCCCAGGTTCCTCGCAGACCTCAGCGTCATGCTGGGCCGCCCCGTCTCCCCGTCTGTCGCTGGCTGTGGTGCTGCCTGTCTCCCGCCGTGCTGCTGGTCCTGTTTATAACTGCCCTGACTCATCTGTCTCTGAAGACCATCAGCTGCTTGGCGTGGGACTCAAGCACTGTGAGCCTCCCTCCCAGACCCCATGGCCTCTAGGGAGTGGGAACAAGCCTTAGACCCGCCCTTGCCTCCAGGACTCAGTCATCTCATTCCCTGACCCCCTGGGGATTCAGTCATTTGCTCTCCCCGCTGGGTTTGTCTCCCCCTGCCCTCTGCAGCCTTTCGCTCCGGAGAACCTGGGCAGTTTAAGCCTTCCTCCCCTTTCTCCGCAGTCCAATGAGGAGATCCGAATTTACCCGTCATGGGCGAAAGGCTTGCTTGTCGTCCTCGTCGTCGTGCCCGTCTTTCCCGTCCCTGCCTACTTCCTGTACACCCTCGCCGGGTGGCTTTTCCAGTCTCCATGGTCTGCAGCAGGACCTTCACTCCCCTCAAACCCGAAGCTACAGTGGGCTCGCCGGAGGCCCTTCCACAGGTCCAAGTGAGGCAAAGCCTGAGGAAGACTATTAAAATGGATGAATTACCGGGGAAAGAACTCGCTGACATGTGATTCCTCTTGGAAATGAAGACTTGGTTCATTTGGCAAAACATCACTTCTGTTTCAAAATGTAACTCCCTGGCTGGCACTGTAGCATTAGAAGAGGTAAACATAGCAACTGCTAATATAACTTGACCCAAAGACCTTTTGTTTTCCTGGATTGGGGACGTTTTTCTGGCCTGATGGGGATTAACATAGTCATTCCACTCCTCTCCCACACTTTCCGTCACCAGATGCGGAATAATGGTGTTCTTTGACTTCCAGGATTTGGTTGATAGTGACTGCTGACCCTGCTTCTTCTAGGCTACCTTCCTCTTTGAATTGGTTCTGTGAGATCTCCTCCCAACGAAAGTAGGGCAGAAATGGTGCTGGTAAACAAATCAGTTCGGTGGAGTTTTGCTTTTGTCATAAAAAAAAAAGGGTGCAAATCCCAGTCTTGACTTCCATGGACTCTGTCAGATCCAAATGCTGGAATCCCAGGTCTTCACTGCCTAGTGCTTCCTGTAAGTAAACTGGATCAGATAGACACAATTTGCTCAGAAAATAGTGGATTAATTGATTATGGCAAAGTGGTTAACTGTTTGTTAATTGGTGACCTCCTCCTATTTCTTAAAAACTTGAAATAGTTGATTACTTTACCAAGTCTACTAAGGGGCTTAAAACTTTATACAACATCTTTATTTTTACTAAGGTGGTTCAGGAGCCTGCAGGAAGGATATTGGCAGGAAATGAGGGGGAGAGAAGAGGTTGTCTGCAGACATTGAACAAGACCCAAGGAGGATTTCATCTGGGGCAATGTGACATATAAATAAAATAAGACCAACCAAATACACCATATTATAAGATGCCTAAAATGTAACCCAAGATATATCTCAACAATCCTCTTTAAATGCATAGATGAGTTTAGGAGAAACTAAGCGCAATCTCAAAGAGGCCACCTATTACCTAAACTTAAATTCAGGTAGGTAACCAAGTGTTAATGCTGTTAACAGTTTTGGGGCAAATGCCACTCCCCCATAACTTTTGGTTTTAAAGGCTAAGCAAGACAAAGCCTCTGCGAAGACAAAGTCCAGGAAACAAAAGGACCTCCCCCTAAATGAAAGCTGGAGGCTACCCTCTGTGAAAGAGTTTGATAACAATAAAATGTATATGTCTTGGTCCTGTCTCTGATAAGAGGGAAGTAGTGTCTTTTTTGAGAATTTGTAACCCAAAACCTCTTATGGGATTTTGGTTGAAATTCATTCAACCTACACAGCTTGAAAAACCCAAGTAGAGATTAATATTAAAGGTGCTGGTGGATAGCAGCTTGCCCCCTGTTGCCTGTCATTAGTAAATATAAATAATCTCTGGAGGAAACACACCCTCCACCAGGCCTCAGAATTCCCACAGGTAAACTCTCAATGAACATGAGGTCACAAGAAGAAATAGCAAAACCCACAAGGAAACCAGGAACGCTCAGGGAGGATTAGCAGAAACAAAGTAGCATAATCAGACCTGTGAAGATCTAATAGCTAATATAAATATGCTTAATATGTTTAAAGACAAACAGAGGGAGTTGGAATTAAGAGCAAGGGAAAAAAAAGACTCCAAGAAATGATTAGGGTATTTGAAGAAGAACTTTTAAAAATGAACAAATCATTAAGACTAAAAACATCAGTGGATGGGTTAAACAAGCAGTTAGAAAACCAGGAAGAGACAAAGCTGAAGATATTACCAATAATGTAGTATAGAGAAACTACAGTATTCAAAAGATGAAGTTGAGAGACCTGGAGGATAGCGGGAGAAAGTTCCAGAAAGAGATCAAGATTCATGGAAGGATAGGGGAGAGGCAATATGCAAAGAGAAAAATGCTGAACATTTTCCAAAAATCAAGGAAAAACAAATCCTTGGACTGGGCAGGCACATCTAATCCCAAGGAGAATAAATAAAAAGAAACTGCAGCACAACAAAAACAGATCTCAGGAGCAATCGGGCAGAAAAGACATCCCCACAAAGGAGCAATGACCTCGCATCTGGTTTCTTATCAACAGCAAGAAAAGCCAGGAGACAGTGGGAAGTATGTGCCAAGGGGGAGAGAAAGTCACCGTCCACTTAGAATTGTAAATCCAACACAAACTATCTCTCAGGCACAGAGCCAAATAGATACTCGGGCAAATAGAACAGTTTTTCACCCACAAATCTTTGGTAAACAATATACTTCAAAAGAGATGTAAAATAAGCCCAGAGGAAAAATCCAAGACTTGAGACAGAAGAAACGCTGAGCCAAGGAGATGATAATGTGAGTAAACATAAGCACATACTCCACAAAGCACCAGTAACTGTGGTTAATTTGTAAGGTTAAAAGACTGACAACTGAAATACTGAACAACAGTAACATATAAACTAGAGCATTCATCTCAGCAGGATGGTAAACGTAATACTGATCTTTGAACCTGGTTAAGGATGCATGTTAAAATTTCAAGGGTGACTACTGAAAAAGAACCAATCTATAATTTCTATACTAGTTAAGGTAACTAATGCTAGGTTCTCTTAACACATGAAATACAAAATCTCTCACTTTATACAATCAAATTTTATTCCTTGCTTGCATCAGAATATAGGGGGCGGAAGCGCTCTGCCTCATTCAGTCATGGAGGAACCCAGACCTCTTGAATCTTGGGGCTTTTCCCAACTTTAGATTCTGGATTCTTGCCAATAAGCTGGTGGATGGGGAAAGAGAATGAGTTTTATAGGACAGGTTTGAAAGTGGAGCACATCACTTCTGCTCACATTCCAGCGGCCAGAATAAAAATGCTGAAAGAATAGGGGAACACAGTTACTACACTCACAGTCTGCTGCTTTCACAAATAAGCAGAGGAAAAAAATAAAGAAAAATCATCCCGAAAGAATGCAAACCAAAATGTAAAAGGTTAATGTAGAAAAAAAGGTGGGACAAGTAGAAGATAAAATTTGGGAATAAATTCACATATACTAATAATCACAATTACATAAAAAGACTAAACATACTTGTTAAGAGACAAATATTGAAGACTAAATTGTTTAAATCCAGCTATCTGCTGTTTATGTAAGATGAGAACACAAGGACACAGGAGATTTAAAGTTGGAAGAAGGAAGCTATACAGGGCAAAGAGTAAACAGAAGACAAAATACACATTTAGGCAATAAAATATTTGAGTTAAAGTTAAAAGATTATCTTTTATAAGGAAGATAGAAAAATTACAAATTGCATGAACCTAATATAGCTTCAAAAGTATAAAACTGGCAGAACTATAAGGAGAAATTGAAAAATCCAAAATTTTTGTGGAAAATTAACTCACCTTTATCAGGAACCCATAGGCAAACCAGGAAACAGTAAGTATATAGATTCGCACACACTTAGCAAGTTTGATGTGATGGATGTACATTGAACCCTGTATTCAATAATTAGAGAATACCTATCTTCTCAAGTCCACAGAATATAAAACTGATTGCACAGTAATCCACAGCACAAGACTCAACAAATTTCAAATAATTATACAGCCCCCACATTCTATGACTGCAGTGCAATTAAGTCAGATTTTAATGAAAATAAAAGAAAAAGCCATATGATTGGACACTGAAAAAAATCACACTAAAAAGAATTCATGGATCAAGGACTATATCATGATAAAAACTAGAAACTACATAAAAGTTAAGCAATAAAAACTACATATCAAATTGGAAGAGAACTAAATGGGTAAATTTTAAACTATATTATAAAAGAAGGCTGAAAATTAGTGTGAGCTAAACACCCAATTTTAAAAAGTAGAAAAAAATGAATAAATCTGAAATTAAGAAAATAATCAGCAGAAATTAGTGATATAGAATATAGGATCAACAAAGCCCAAAGCTGATTTTCAAACTAAAATCAAATCTGTGTTTTTATATATGCAACAGAAACTTGAAAAAAGAGAATTTATTTATTATTTTTTATTAAGGTATTATTGATATACACTCTTATGAAGGCTTCACATGAAAAAACAATGTGGCTACTACATTCACCCACATTATCAAGTCCCCACCCATACCCCAGTGCAGTCACTGTCCATCAGTGCAGCAAGATGCCACAAATTCACTATTTGCCTTCTCTGTGCTACACTGTTTTCCCCGTGACCCCCCACACCATGTGTACTAAACATACTATCCCTCAATCCCCTTCTCCCTCCCTCCCCACCCCTCCCCTTTGGTAACATCTAGTCCCTTCTTGGAGTCTGTGAGTCTGCTGCTATTTTGTTCCTTCAGTTTTGCTTCGTTGTTATACTCCGCAGATGAGGGAAATCATTTGGCACTTGTCTTTCTCCACCTGGCTTATTTCACTGAGCATAATGTCCTCCAGCTCCATCCATGTTGTTGCAAATGGTAGGATTTGTTTTCTTCTATGGCTGAATAATATTCCATTGTGTATATGTACCACATCTTCTTTTTTATTTTGAGAGGGCATCTCTCATATTTATTGATCAATTGGTTAACAACAATAAAATTCTGTATTGGGGGGTCAATGCTCAATGCACAGTCATTAATCCATCTCAAGCCTAATTCTCATCAGTCTCCAATGTTCTGAAGCATAACGAACAAGTTCTTAGATGGTGAACGAATTCTTACATAGTGAATAAGTTCTTACATGGTGAACAGTACAAGGGCAGTCATCACAGAAACTTTCGGTTTTGATCACGCATTATGAACTATAAACAATCAGGTCAAATATGAATATTCGTTTGATTTTTATACTTGATTTATATGTGGATCCCACATTTCTCCCTTTATTATTATTATTATTTTTATTTTTAATAAAATGCTGAAGTGTACCACATCTTCTTTATCCATTTATCTACTGATGGACACTTAGGTTGCTTTCATATCTTGGCTATTGTAAAAAGTGCTGCAATAAACATAGGGGTGCATATGTCTTTTTAAATCTGAGAAATTGTATTCTTTGGGTAAATTTCTAGGAGTGGAATTCCCAGGTTGAATGGTATTTCTATTTTTCACTTTTTGAGGAACCTCCATACTGCTTTCCACAATGGTTGAACTAGCTTACATTCCCACCAGCAGTGTAGGAGGGTTCCCCTTTCTCCACATCCTCCCCAGCATTTGTTGTTCTTTGTCTTTTCCATGCTGGCCATCCTTACTGGTGTGAGGTGATATCTCATTGTGGTTTTAATTTGCATTTCCCTGATGATTCGTGCTGTGGAGCATCTTTTCATGTGCCTGTTGGCATCTGAATTTCTTCTTTCGAGAACTGCCTCTTCATATCCTCTGCCCATTTGTTAATCGGGTTATTTGCTTTTTGGGTGTTGAGGAGTCTAAGTTCTTTATATATTTTGGATATTAACCCCTGGTCAGATATGTCAATCACAAATATATTGTCCCATACTGTAGGATGCCTTTTTGTTCTGTTGATGGTGTCCTTTGCCATACAGAAACTTAAAAGTAAGAGAATTTAATAAACAATTTTAAGGCTTGCAAAATCTGAATGATCAAATTCCTACAAGACAAGACAGCCCTTAGCTGGAGGTCCAGGATGTCAGATTGCCTAATAATTGTGGATAAAATGCCCTTGAGAAAGTTGTGGTCGTGGGGGATGGATTTGGAGTTTGGGGTGGCTCGTCCAAGGAGCCATTTTCTCTGGACGTCTTCATTTCCTCCTGCTGAGAAGAGCTTGATTTGGCCACGGGAAGAACCTACCTAATTTTGGAGGAGTCAGGGAGCGCTGCACACTCTGAGGGTGTGGTCCCCCTTCTTGGTGTCCATTGGCTCTTACCTCCTCTCTTGGCCCCGCCCACTCACTCACCTATTGGCTTCCCCACGACAAGACAAAGCAGGACAGTGAGTTAAGAGTGGGAGACTACAGTCTCTCTGGTTTGCCCTCTCTCCACAGGATACCCCAAGTCCAGTCGTTAATTCCGTGTGCTTTCTACCTTGCCTCCCATGCATCCTGTGTCCAGAGGTCTAAGATTTTCTTTTATTAACGGCTTTATTGAAATGCAATCCATATACCTTCCAGCACATTTTCCTTCGCACAGGGCCACCTTTTGAAAGCTTACAGTTCATTGTGTTGCAGTCATATTCATAGAGCTGCTGAATTTTACCAAATACTTTTTCACCTTGTTGATAAATTCTATTTTTTTCTTCCTGCATCCCATGTAATGGCT